GGGGGGGGGGGGGGGGGGGTGTAGCGTGTTTATTCCAGAAGTGCTGTAGGCAAGTGATGCTGACGAGATCTCCGAGGAGCGAGGCTACTTGCTGGTCTTGGTTTCCTCTAGGGGGATCTGAAGGAGGGTGGGAGACTGTTCCATAATGCGCACCAGCAGCCGGTCAATGTAGTTTTCCAGCTCCTGGATGTGCTCCTCCTTCTTGCTCAGTTCTTTCTCCCTCTGCAGCAGCAGCTGGATGAGTTCGTCATGGGTCAGGTGATAATACTTGGCAGACTGGTCTGGCAGAGCAGGATCCTAAGGCAGGAGCAAACAGGAGAAGCCAGTGAGATGTGAAAGGTGACTAGCAAAACACAACTGCAGCCAACACAGACTATGTGTGCTGCAAGGTACAGCATATGGCCATTATGGTAGTAGCATCCTACAGCACTTTACAGTCACACTGGATCGGAAGGGACCACCCGAACCACTGAGTCTGGTCTCCTGCTCTTACAGGCAGCTACATTATAATCCTATTAAAAAATTGATCATACTCTCTTTTAGGTTTAGGCAGAATGTTTGCCCCCGCTACTCCTACTGGAAAGCTGCTCCATAATCTCCCTTCTCTGATGGTTAGAAGCCTTCTAATTCCCATCCTAAATGTATTATTATAGCCAGTGTGTATGTATTTATTCTTGTGCTAATAATGTCTAATAGCCTAAATAGTTCCTTTCCTGCACTGGTGTTTTTTCATTGTTTTACTTTTCCATTGTATGGATGAATAATAGCAGTGCAAGAGACTGTGCAGAGCAGACACGGAGCATAGGGAAGAACCAGAAGCTTGTCCCAGATGGCAGCGACTCTTCCAGCCACAGTGGGGAGATCATGAGAAGGGAGAGAGAGGAAGTTACAGCTAGCTGGATGCAGGGGAGCAGAATCATACAAGACCTGAGAGCCAAGGAAGATATGGTTGTAAGCCAGACCCCCAGAAATACAGGGAGCATTGCTAGGGGTGTTTGAGCACAGCATCTGAAGTGGCTGTATTCCTGTGAAATAGAGCAGCAAGCAACACTGTACACACAGCAGGTCTCAGGACACCTGGGGCAGGGAATGCAATAGCCTGGGGGAGAGGAAATTCAAGCATCTCATTGGGACCATGTATTTGTGCATATCCACAATACAGCAAAAGGGCTTTTGATGTGCCCATCTCCACACCAACTTTTCGCAGGCCCTGCACTATGAAGAACTAAGGCACATGCAACATTTCAGGAAGCATCTGTCAAGAGACAGAGCCCTTTGGATTTTCATTCAGAGTGAACTCGACACATCACTGACGTCTTCCTCTCTGCAAAGCATTCGGCTCTGAATAGATGGGAGAACTGCTGTGTTTGGCAGCAACCCCCTCAAACACACCGACTGCTCCACTTGGGCAGCTCTCTACGTGGAATCAGATGTAGTGCCTTCTCCAGATTAGGTAATCAGCCTCGGCGAGTGGCAACACCAATCAGCTAGCCCCCGTGCTAATTAGCCCACCCAGAGCTCCAATGCTCCCAGTTTAGGAGGCGGTGCCTGTGAAGCCACATGTGGTACATGAAGACCTTGCTGTATGGCACGGTTTGCTTACTGTGTAGACATGACCCTAGTTCAATTTTGGGGGGTTCAAGGCATCCCTCACGGACCTTGAGGCATTCCTCCATAACTTTTGTGAACTGAGTGGCACAGAGTTTACCTCCTTGCAGAGGGGCAGGCAATAGGGGTAGAGAGTCAGCCAGGTAGGGACAAGCCTGAGCCTGTGCTTATCTCACACCTCAGGACACCCTTCGAAGGAACTTGTGGCACCCAACCTGCCAAGGCAGCCTGGTTGAGAATCACTACTAAAGCCATCCAGCTTGTCTTGTGAACTGTAAGTCACGGCTTAGCAGGAGGCAATGAAATCAGAGGCCTGATCATGAAGCAGAAGGAAAAAGAGTGCATGCTCACTCCGTCCAGGCTAGGATCTTGCTGTGCACTTAGCATCAAGACTGGAGGCAGGACTACTGGGTAATAGCCGAAGCTCCGCTGATTCAGCCATCTAACAGCATCACGCAGACAAGCGTCCCCTACTTCGGGGATAGCTACGGCTTCCATTTCAAGCACCTCTAAGTACTAATATAATGGAAGCAAACCAGTGGCTAAGGATAATGAGAGTCAGAGGCCAGTGGTGATGCACCTACCTTTAATTTCTTGTGCTCCGCCTTCTCTAGTTGCGTGGACGGGGCCACTGGCTGGATGCTGCCCGTTGTGACGGTCTTCAGCTTCTCCAGGCCACTGCTCAGGGCAGAGGTCAAGCTGGACCTGTGCTGCTTTTTCTCAATGGAGGCCTCTGACACCGCAGCACTTATGGGCTTCACTGGATGAGGACTAGGGAAAGCAAGACAGACAGTTAATGGCACACATGGTTGAGGGGAGGAAAGCACTTTTATCTGCCCTAGATTGGGGAGGAGGCTGCATAGCTGTCATTAAAGTCACACAGCAAGACGTCCTATAATGAACCACACTGAACGATCCTGGCTCCTAGGGCAGGGGTGACCAAAGTGCAGCCCACTGGCAGACAGCCCACAGCGCTCTCCAATGCAGTTTGTGACCTCCAAGATGAAAACAGGACTCGTGGAAACTGCAGACTCCAGGACACAATGCTGAATCTTAATGCAAGGAAATCAAGCCCCGGCACGTTGGAACTCATGGTCTCTGCAGGCTGCTCAACGTGGCAGCATTGTGTGCTGGAAGCCATGGTCTGGGGGGTCACTGAAGCAATGGGAGATTTGGTGCAAGTTAGGTGCAAAAATGGGGGGCTCCTGGCTGCGTGTACAGCTAAGGACTTTGTGGCAGAGTCTAGGTGCCCTTGGGACAGCCTAATTAACTGCCTACATTAATTACAGGACAGCTTTGGTTATCCAAACCCTCAATTACCCAAACAGCAATTCTTTTCTTTTTTTTTTAAACGATGTTGCACCTGCTGGTATGGTACAACCACCTGTTCTCCTTCCAGCTTTGCTGCAAAGGTCTGTATGGGTCAGGGCGGTCTGGTTTTACACATGATATCACAAATTGCCACCGTTTCTCTTATCCAAACAGCTTTTTGTCCTGTGCCTTGCACGGGTTTGCTTAAGTGAGAAGACACTGCGCTATGTTATTATTGCAAGCTTCAATCAGCAAGTTGCCTATTGCACATTTTCCACAGCTGCGAGACTACTCTAGTTTCACTAAGAAACCTCACTAAATACCATATTTTCTCACATACAACACCTGCCCAAATATAATATGCATCTTGTTTTTGAATGGCTGAATGAAGAAATAAAGATTTGTCCACAGTTAGGGCTGCACAGAGCAGGGACAGAGCCTAAACTCACTCTCCGTTTCTGCAGAACTAAAGCTGATTCCCTAGCTGCTGCAGAAAACTGGTCTCCATGGGTGGATTTATGATTCTGAAAAGAGCTGAGAGGCTGTGCAAGAGAGAAACCAGGAGCAGCTAGCTGACAGCAAAAGTTAGATTGATTAATAAAACATCATGACCATTAAAAAGGGGAGATGATTCATTAACACTTGCACAAGAGTGAAGAACAATGAGCTATTAAGTCAACTGACTCCCTCAGCTGCTGCACTCTGAAGCAGGAATCAAACCAGGGTATTTCCAACCCCTGGCAGAAAGTCAGCTCCCTGCTTAAGACGCGCCCCAATTTCAGGGAAAGGAGCATGTTGTATGTGAGAAAATATGGTATTCAAGTTTCATTAACAACGGTCCCTGGCTTTTTCCTTCCAGTGCTTTTGGCTACAACATAACTCAAGGGCACTACAGCATCTGTACCAAAACACCCCAGTCAAGCCATAGGGACACAGCAGCATCGCCTCTTTGCACTCTTTGGCAGATGAGAAAGAATTGCTCTGTTTTAGCTAGCAAGCCCGCCCCTTCTGCAGTTACTGGAAGTGGATACAGGCTGCATTTCAGGGCTTGGTCAGCACGTGTTTGGCCTTCTAGCTGTAGTCTGGACCCCCCTCCAAACTAACGGGAAGAGAAGTGTCCTGTGGCAAGCTGTGCTGCAAGCTTCTAGCGGAGCAGAGCGGGGCTGGTGCAATAACTATCCAGGTCTGACATCAAAACCAGGAAAGGAAAGCCAGGATAAAAAAGCCATGGAGCATACTTACACTGCAAGTGCAGCAGCTACGCTACGAAGAGTCATGACTACAACTGACATATGTGCGTGTACTACTGACAGCTCAGAGGAGCTCCAATGCTCAGCAAGGATTCATCTGTTCAAAGACCCAGTCCAGTGAGGCAAGTGAGGATGTTCCCCATTTGGAGATGGTATAACTGACACCCATCCTGGGGAAGTAACATGTACCCAAAGTTACTGGCAGAGCCAGGAACAGGAACCCCTTCCTCCTGATCTCCAGGCCTGTAATCTAGCTTCAAAGTTGTGAAAACTGGAGAAAGACAACAGAGCACAGGGGATCCCAGATTTGAAAAGCACTCCTCCAAAAGGCCCCCAAGTTGCTTCTAGTAGCCAAACTAAGTTGCCCCTAGCAATAAAAAAGGACTTCAAAAGCTACCAGAACTTCAGCTGAAGCAATGCTGCCAGGGATGCTACGATAACAGAAATGGAGTGGGAAGAGATATGTGACCTTTTCAGAGCAGTACAGATCATTCAAATCCCAACACAGATCCATCTTGCACATGGCAGCATTCCCCAGAAAGGAGACTTCCAATTTGCACATGCTTTGGGGATGGACATTTGCACTCTAGCTCAGGGATCAGACTCACAGCCATCAGCCATGAGAGCTGCACGCCCTTTGAAAGACCAGCCAGCCATCTCAGAGAGGCATTGGGACCCAGGCCCAAAACTCAGGGCAGAGGAGAAAGGTGTCCCTTTTCTTAGGCCTCCAAGACTGGTCCTGTGGTTCAGAGTTGGCTCCTTGTTACTTGTATTTCAGTTCCTGTGACTGCACACCTACTCAGGGTAGAGTCTGGTGATGCTATGGCCACTGCTTGGAGCCAGATAAGCAGAGATCGCTAGCTTAGAAGCCAAAATTGGCGTTTTGAGTCCTACTTAGCACTGGAGGAGACATGTTGTAACTGGCAGGTCTCCCTATGCACCACGGAGAAATTTTCAGAGACTCTCTTCCTTCCAGGACAGTGTTGGCCAAGTCAATCTACATCCGCAGTCCAGGCTAGTTTGGCCAGGTTGGTCCCAGGAGCTCTCATGAGACAATGCCAGCTGCCCCTAACATTACAAAGCTAATGCATTAACACATCCTGCCAGGACCCTGCAAA